TACGTTCAAGAGAATTTAGGTCCATAAAGGATAATATAGTTTCATAGTCGTGGTTATATTATATGCCAGAACGCTAAACAGAACAGTGTACGCTCTGCTTTTCCCAGCACTGCGCGATGTAAATATCCAAATTGTGCCAAAATGGCTAAATTGTGCAATCGTATGCTAAAATTGGTCTGACTAGTGTAACATGAAGCAGTCTTAGCGTACTAGTCTCTTTAAAATATTTGAGTACTCTATAGTAGCTATAAAGTATAATATTATGTCTTTGCAGTGCCCCACGAATGTAAAGTTAATAGAGAAGAAAGTGATCCCAAGATCCCGTATCGAATTAACAATATTGGATCACGGATCCATTGACGGAATATAATCACAGAACCATGCATTCTGCGAATGAATCGTTTAGTGAAACATTTATTAAGGTTAAGCGATAATTTGTTCAACGTACAGAGTACAGTACAATATACATAATACTGATAGAAATTCACGTGGCTTTGTTCAGTTCGATTATAGAGACTCCTCGTCCACGCATTCAGATTTAATACTAGATTTATGGAAGCATGAACGCAACTAATGCATATTGTTTTGCAACAACGATAACAGTGGATTTATTTAAGTCACGTATGATTTCGATCGCACGAATAACGAGCAAAGAAGTTGTTCAACGAATTTCCCATAGAAACATTATCCTAATTTCAGTGATCGTACGAGCGAGAAATCCAAAACGCTTCGAGACTGTTATTTTAAGTTTTCGTGTAATTAAAACATTTCGAAGGCCACTGTTAATCAGTGGATTCCCGCCATTCGCGTGCCATAATGATCAGCTGTCGACCCATCGCTCAACGTTTCTACTGTTCACTCTTCGAGATAGTGACAGTAGCGGCGTCGGCGACACCCCGCGTGCCACGCACTGTCAGAAATTACGGCATCGATTACCGAAAGCACGCGGCCGATTACATAACACGCAACAGATGACCAGGCAGTTTAAAACCGGGCCAATGGAAGACCATCGAGCGTAATTGCTCTGGTTACAAGCCCGGTCCTCGTATCATTCATGGCTCGAACGTGAGATTTTAATCGGATCCGCGGCTGAATGCGAGGCCCCCGAGGCTTGTTGGCTGTTTGCCGAGAGTTTTGCTATAGAATGCCTTATATTTACGTAAGAAAGCAGAGCCGTGCTCTATAATATCCTAAAAATATGCTTGCCACGATAGAATCTCTATTTTCTCCAAATGTTTCAGTTCCTTGGCTCGCGTCGCATTTTTAACAGACTGGAACCTGCGGAAATCGGCTCGGAGATTCGGGGCCCCTGACCGATATTCTTCACTCCTGCAATTTTGCCCGCCGAAAACATATTATCTTTAATTGGGAACCGATAAACCGCGCCGGGATCGTATCGGCCCGATACATCGGCATTATCGTCTCGCTGCTCGAAAACGATTATCGCATTATCGCGGTGCCCACTCGAAATTCGAGCACCGGTCACCGATTTCATTATTCGAATATTTCTAACAAAACGACCGAGCGAACATTCGACAAATATTTCAGAGCCGTCGATCCTCGTCCCTGGAAGGCCTCGATCACTCTCAAAATTCGCGTCAGCATAAACAGGAAGTCGTTCGCATCGTACGTCGCGTGAACAATGATCGTCGATTTGCACATCGTCTCTACTTCGTTAGCTTGCCGAGACAACGAAGCGACGAGCCTCGGATGCGTTTCGTGTGTCGCGTCGTCCAGGAATAGCAATGGAAAACAATTTTTCAAGGGAACCGTGCAGGATCGCGATTAGTCAACGATTGATTGCGCAACCGCGTGCGAGATCGAGCGATCCGAGTGAAACGATGGGGGATCGATGGGCGGCCACGGCCGGCATCTTCATCGGGACAATTAACGCGGCGGGTGAACGCATGCAAAACACTTCGCGGACTAATGTATTATTTGCCGGTCTGTCTCTGTCGCTTCCTCTTGTCGGACGAATTGCGTAAGAAGACGGGTTCTCTCTGCTCCGAGCGGCTTTGCGCAATGATCTCTCGGTAACGATCGCGTGAATTTCTCGCGGAAGGAAGCAGGGGAGGATGATGCGATGATCGTGGAAAAATCTTGGATCGTTGGCGTTTTGTAATCTTGAATTAGAGCGTCCATTTCTTTTGAAGCATGCTGTATCGGGCTGGGCCATCCTCGCGTTAACGCTCGTTCGCGTCGGTTCGCTCGCGTGCTCATTGAATCGAGACACGCGAAGAGTTTGATCAGCCCGTTAAGAACGCATTTAATATTTTCCGGGCAGAAAAGTAGGCGGTGGAAAAACTTGGGGAAATAAGGGACCCGTAGCCGTACGCCGCGCCGCTATCTATTTCCCGGGCACGGTGGAACGAGAAGACTTTTAAGCACACTTCCGTTTGGTTGTTGCAAACTTTCGGAAGGCGAAATAACTTTATCAAGGAGATAGAGGCCGGGTAATACAGGGGCCGCCGGTATTTCTTAACAAGTGCGAAACAAATGCATTAAGAAGTAGGTTATTCCCGTAGGGAAATCACGGCGATAGGAAAACGGTATCGTTATACCGCATAAATAAATCCGCGCGAACTCGGTGCAGGGTGCACGAGCTGTTCCATTACGATCGAATTCGAAGAAATTCTAATCTGTTGTTTTAGTTAACGTTTGTTTGTTGGGCGATCGTATCGTTTTGGAATGCGAAACGATAAAGCACGCCGTCGTTATCCTTCTTATTATTTCGACGAACGGTAATGAGATACGGCGCACTGTACCGCGAATGGCACTCGATGCGTACGAATTTCGTTTCTACCTGTCTACGAGCATTAGCCGTGCCACGACAAATTGCTCGTTACCATCTACTCGACTCGCGACCCGCAGTCGTCGAGAGGAACGGTCCTTACAGTAGGCAGAGTTCGCCAATGTTTACTCTGCAATTAATGAAGAAGGACTACATCGGAATTACTTGATAATCAATCGCGATAAAGACCGAGCTTTAAATTTAACCGGTCCGTAATCGAAGCCGGCTAAAATTAGTATTTAATCAAAAACGATTCCGATCAGCTGTAACAAGATTTTTTATATTTTTTTTAATCGCGGATAAATTCTTTATCGTCGAGGCCCCGGCAGGAAATTAAATGAAAAATTAAACCACCGATAAACGGCCCGCTGTGCTTCTACGCAACGATTAAATAATCAAGAATAAGAGCAAACGTTAAAAACACTAGAGGCCGCTACAGAATTCCGTATATCGCCGTATCTTATATCATTTCATACGAAGACTCGAACTACGAAATCGAGGACGGCCAATTTGAATCTAAGATATCGAGGAATATCGCGAATCCTCGCCAATTTGTCGTTTCCCATAATATCTGCAATCTGAAATGTAATCGTATTCCCAGAGAGGTCGTCCCGTGATTAAGATACCTCGAAACACGCGAGCGTGTATGGAACAAAAAGCTCTCCCATTTTCGTTCCGCGTTCCCGCAAAAATGAACACGATGTTTGGAAAGCTCGGGTTACCCAATTTTAGGAAAAAGTATCGTTTCTGGTGTAGCATCGTTCTATTACATTCCAATCGAACGGCAATTCAAAGAGGACTCCGTTCCACGTTCTGCTCCGTCAGCTGTGCTTGTTTTGCTCCGTTTCGTTTAGGATTGTTCTACTTTGTACGGCTCGATGTTCTCTTTTCAACAATTTTCCGTCAAGCATCGTCTTCGGTCGAAGCACTGCTCCTCTTATGAAAATGTTCAAGCTGGAAGCCTTAAATCAACCTTCGATTAAGAAAGAAACGTGCTCGTTCCCGCGCAACCATGAACGTTCCTTCGATCACGTACTGATCCGTTCCTCCGTCAGGATCACGGCAAGTCTCCGCTTTCGGGGCAGACTGAATATGGAAAAATCCTGCGGCGACTTCTCGCCGGACGTGGACGATATCGACGTTGGCACAATGTGAAAGTTACATAAGCCCCACCTTAGTCCATCACGAAAAATCGAATCGGTTCTATTTTTATTGGCCTGCATACGCAAGGAAGGCAGGTTTCGCTGTCCTGCGCGACAGCGAAACAAGCCAAAGATTTTCCGACAATTTTCTACCGACGGAAACTCCTCGAGAAAAATTGGTGCCGACGATAGGTCGGCTGCAGTCGAATTCCGCAGCGAACGATCGATCGTTCAGCAGCGACGATTATAGTCGGGGCGTAGAGGATTGGAAGACTATCAACCTTCCAAAGGAATACGCGAGCGATGCAACTGTAAGCTAGAAAATATTTCGACGCGAACAGGCCTGAGCATGCAAATAGACAGCGAACTGCAAACACGCGGCAAAGAGAGAGAAGCTCAAACTGTCAGTCTGACGGTGTTTGCGTGCCGCAAGATAAAGACAGCGAATTTGTTGGAAAATTAGGATAAAACCGGCGCCGTTGAGACAGTCGGATCCCGAATGTGAACGATATATTGCCGGCAAACAACCGGTGGATCGTTTTTGCGTTTCGATACCGACCAATCACTGACTAATCCAGCTCTTGTTAGGCCAGCTTTTCAAAATTTCACGCGCTATTATTATTATTATTATTATTATCAAATCTTGTGACTCGCGACATTTCAACGCTTCTAGATATGTAGATGCGAGCACCGTCACACCATGACTCAATCGAGGAAATTTTAATGTTTCGTTATCTCCGACCAAATCTCGAGCACATCGGAGAGGTTAATCTTTCACTCCTTCGAGATAACAAGTTTGATGAATTTATTACGCTTTTTTCCCCTCCTGAAAACGGACCGATTTGCAGCTTAGACAATAAATCTTTGTTGTTTTTGTCGGAGAGCTGGGAATCACGGGAATTTCAGAAATCCAGCCGCGCAGGCTTAGGAAGCGCAGACTATCGCTTGCTCAGTCCTCAACCAGCGTTAAACAACGTTTTTATGTGCGTCTGGTTAAGAACTGTTTCAGATTTCGATGATGAATGTATGCATTGTTTATTAATTTGATTGGTTTGCTCTGGTTGCAGTTCACGGTGTGTCGAGCTACAATGTGACAGGCGCTCAAAAACGTTTGGAGAGCAGCGAGATGATTCAGAAAATTGAGAATAGTGATCGCCGGGGCGAGTCGACGACTGACTATCGGTCGGAGGACGAGAAGACCGTTTACGTTATCGAATTCGAGTCGGAGTCCAACGAAAAGGAAGAGCAGAGCAAAAGAAAAGACGGACCTGCTGGTAAGATCTGTTCATCGTTTTCCAACTATGTATCACCATTTGCATCAGCAACCGGAAACGTGCAACTCCGTCTACCGGGTGTCTCCAAAAATAACCATTGGAACAATAATTATCATCACTAATAAATGCGTTCGAAGTATGGCAAATAATTATTCGGAGTTGCTAAGAATGCGGCAAACGGTTTTGATAATGGTGCTATATCTTTTTTTAAACAATTTTAATCGGAATTTGAACCCTCTATTTATTTGTCGGTATTATAGGGATCCATAGATTAATCTAGAGCAATAATAGCCAATTATAGAAATCGTTTTAGATGAAATTGAAATATGCAACTCGATGCACGAGCCAACCTGCAACTTTCGATGAATTATCAGAGGTTGTTTCGCAGAAGAGGAAACATACTTCCTGATGCAATTACCGAGACAGAAGATGATCCTCCAATAATCCTCCAACGATATTAAACATTATGCAACCATTACCATATCGTACATACAGCGCGATTCTAAAACAGAGGCTCCCGGGAACAAGGCAGTTTATGATAAACGATAGAAAACCTTCATTTAAATGCACTCGTGTCGGTTGAATTTGCCGATGCTATCGGTCACGTGCCGTCGAACCATTGATTCACGAATCATTATAGCAGAAGAAGTGCATCTTCCGCCGAGACAGTTGCTTATTGCTCGTTATTTATAGTTTCGGAGCTCGGTTGGTTAACTCTCGTTGAGCTCATTAACGGGATTCGTTGTTCGATCACACATCGGCGGGGCTTAATTTACATAAGAGCGCACGTACGGCTGGCTCACGATTGAACTAAATGAATTCCGGGATTGATTCGGCGCGAATCACAGGGGAATTTATGACCGGGGCTAATGAAACACGTCATCTGGAGTCGTCTTCTCACAGGGGACAACAATTCAAATTTATTGCTCCGAGGCAATGTCTCCGTACCAGAGATGATCAAGAACAAAATTCACTTCGCGCTGGTAGTACCCCAGGTCGGATCAAGACGACTTGTTCCTCATTCCTTCTTTAACTAAAGAAGACATTCCTGACATTCCTTCTAAGACATTTCTGAGCGAAATCCTACATTTTGCAACACGCAGTATAATTAAAAACGTGCACAGAGTCTGGATATATTCAATCTTGTCGTTATTAGAATCTAGTCGCGTTCAACATTCGATTGTTCTAATTATTAACATACAATTACGTTCGCTTATGCAAGTTGTATCGAAATATATTAAGTTATATCGCAAACCTAACACACAACATATTCGGCTCGATTGCATGAAGTGACTGTTTAATTAGATTGATTTTTCTAAGAAGTTTAATCCTTTCGCTACCGAACCGTCAATTGTAGATAAAGGTCTAGTTTATAAATAGCAGAATGATTAGATCCGATTGCAACAAATGCCTGACGCGTCCAACTGCAACTATGAATCCATTGCGTGTCTACGGTAGCGAAAGGATCAGAGACCCATTGTCCTCGACTTTATTAACGCGACCTTATCCTTCATAGGCAGGTTTCTGTTTGTTTCAGTAGACGGGGACGATCAGAACCCGCTGGATCCGTGGTCGATCGTCTGGTACATCGGTTCGTTCGGCGGCCTGGTAGCGTTCTTCCTGATAGTGAGCTGCTCGGAATGGTGTTGTCGTCGAGGCGGTCGTCCTTTGACAGTGCCGTACGCCCAGCGAACAGAGGTGATGAACGGCAGCCAGGTGGTCACGGAGACACCGCCACCCCCGTATCACTTGTTCGCGCCGCCTCCGTACGATTCCGTTAATTACGGGGAGATCGTCGACAAGGCTTCCGGCGAGAAGCTGGACATCTACGTGATCTCGGTGCCGATCCACAGGCCGGTCGTCCAGGTTCCGGCATAGGAGCCTCCCCGAAGACATCCTCATCGTTTGACGAGGACTCGGACGAATCGCTGCCATGAAACACGACACGGACAGTGTCGCGGTATCTGACAATCGTTCACTGAACCGCGGGTGAATGATTTCGAATGATAGGGAACAACCGATGGATCCCGAACAATCAGGTCCCCTGGAACGGGGTGATTCGAAGTTGGACCCTTTTTCTTGACAATCGTCTCTCCCTCTTGATCCGCCGTGAACGATCACGACGTAGCGGATCAGAGAGGAACGCGAGACGAGCAACGTGTTTTAAACACAGAGGCCACCTCTCTGTTCAGAATCTGACCGATTTTAGCGGACTCAACGAGAGAATAATCGGGGTTCTTGATAGATCGAACGAGCAGCGTTGTTTTATTGCCCGGAGGACCAACCACTCGTAGAAAGACTCGTTGATTTGGAAACGGTATTGGAGGAATTAGAGGGGAAGGATCGCACTACTCGGAGAGTAAAAGAATGTAGAGTCTAGAATGATTTAGAGCGATTCAGCATTTCTGAAGAGGCCGGTACACACGAGTCGGGGCTCTGGAACGGATGTTATCCTGAAACGGATTGAATTCAAGATTCAAAGGTTTCGCGTAATTGTAGACGTTTCTCGTTTTCCAAAGGAAACCATGTAGAAACCGCTCATAGAATATTCCCTCGTTGTTGGTCGGGGAATTTTAGTGGGCGCACGAACGCTTTATCTACCGGAAGTTCTCATTTTGGAAATTTCGAGACAGCATAAGCAGCTAATTAGACTCAACGAATGCTATTTTATTTAGCCGGTAGGTAATGTGTTAATTGCGAGACTGCAGGCGAGGAGGTGGTTTTATCTAGAGTGTACCGAGCTGAGCTATCGTTCGACAAATAGGACGAGCTTTTAGCGGGCTTAGGAGCCATGGAAGATTCGGTCGGTGTATCCTCGAATACCATGTTGTCGTGCATCAATGTGGATCGTTGAGGGACTAGCCACGATCTATGCGTAGGAGCCATGGGATTTTCTTTTCTAACGAGTCACTCGTCCTATCACTGCCCTGCCATGTGAATTAATGAACATTTTACGCCATACTCTCGTACATTCTTCTCTAGCCTCTAATTTAAGGAAAGTGAGAAGCAACGCACAACGTTGAGCCTCGAAACAGAGGGATATATCGCTTCGAGGATCTAATACCGAATTCCTATGAGTCGCGCTGGTTGCAGAGATCAATTCGTTCAAGCATATCGTTAACTGTTAGATAATAGCTCGACGACAGGGTCGGCCGCGACCCGTCCTAGATAGCGTACCCACGTGAATTTACATTTTTATAGATTCGTTTAACCCTTGCTCGACTGTACAGGCAGATGTCCGATGACCGGGTCAGTTGTGGCCCGAGTTGGAAATTATTTATCACACAAAATGAATAGACGGAATATAAAACGATAGGAGAATTCGGAGAAGATACATTATTTCGTTGTCGTTAGTAGATTATCATAGTAACGGGTCTCCAAAGACCCAGGCATTGTTGCGCAAGGGTTGAAACTATTGGAAAAACGAACACCGCATTTCGTAATTCGTTTATTCGCGCGTACACGTGAACACGTGCGCGCGAACTTCAAATTTAATCGTCGATATTGTCGGCCACCATTAACCCCAATCACGATTGTATCAAGTCCGGCAATTGCGAGCAACTATACTTAGAGCAAAAAAGAAGGAAATTCAGCTGAAAGAGATCGCGAAAACAGGTCTGGATCGCCAACGCGTGTAAATCATTAGATAGAAAATTTCTTGTGACGAGAACGTAAGATGTTGCACACGTGCCACAAGTGCGTAGAGATCCACAGTCGTTATTGCCACAATCCACATTTGCATATTTCTGTTCGTTTAAATATTATTATTTTACTTCTGGCGACATAAACTGCGCGGTAACACGGTGTTTTTCTATAAAATGTTCGGTATCTTGCATTCTGGGCACATAAGTGAATAATGAGCTCCTTTATTTGCTGTACGATTGTTTGGATTAATTAAACAGACGAGCGACAAGATTATTTAAACATGCGCCGTACGTTCTGCGAGTGGAAAATAACCTGCGTACGCAGAGTGAATCAAAATCGAACGATCGAATCGATAGATCCTTTCTTGGAGACCGACGGACGACGAAGTAATTTATTTTCGTACGTGAATTCCACGAAAATTGCGTTTGAAAATTCGAAGATTACCACTCTGTGCGCGCGCATCCGATGCGAGTCCCAGGAAACCCGACGCGGGATTTTTAAACGAGATTATTTTCGAAAACAAAACTACGAACGAAAAAAATTGATTCCTCGTTTCTTGTTGTTTGTAGAGTCATCTTCGAATAAAGGATAGCTTCGGATTGCATCGTAAATTCTGAGACACTTCGTATTTCTGTCAGGTACAAGACGCGCAAGCTGGAATTCGCGAAAAGATACGATGAAACTTTATTATTACATCCGAGATATCTCGCTATTCGGATTTACTTATGTAGAAATATTCCAAATATTTTACAGAAGGACAAAAATATTCGAGAACCGCAGTGAAAAATGTGTGTGAGAGATGCTCGAGACAAGTTTGTGTATTACGTTATCGCGAACGAAGGAATCTGCGAATCTAGTTTATTTATATTATTGCATTGATCTCCACCATTTAGATTTAACAAATGATTAGTGTTCATGTATGAAGAGAGCAAGAGAGAAGGATAAATGGATTTGTGTGCGTGAGAGAATAAATTGTGCGTTGAATGATAGCGAAATTTACCGTAAAATTAAGAACAACGTCAATTATTCGTATAATGATTATTGTTATCGTCATTATTTGTCACTAGTGAAGTTATTGTCATCGAATTGTGATCGTGATCGTAATCGTGATCGTGATCGTGATCTCGGCGACAATGGGAACACCTCACGATGGATTCACTCTCATTAAGACTTTTACAAAGTCGCAGCGTCATCGCTATTTATTTTTTATACTTTTATACATACCGTTTATACGTGTTCGAATCGTCTCTACGTTACCAATAAAATTTCTTTTCTCACAAAATCGTTTTATTGTCTTTCTTCTAGCGAAACAATTGGCACTTCGGCATCTGATAACAAAATTGAGCAAAAGTAAAAAGCAGATTATGATTGTTAATAGTTAACCTCAAGTATATATGTTTACTTCAAATAATTTGAAGCATAATTAAGTAATTTATATCGATCTTGATTCTTATGGACTGTAATACTTACTCGAAACTGTAATACTTAACCGATAACCACAGTTCGCATCACCACTTCACAAGGAGTTTAATAAATCCATATCAGGATTACCAACCAGAGTTACTAAAACATGCGTCGAGTGATCATATGTTCGCACAGTTTTGACAACTTAACGGTCACAATTACGTCTGATAATATTTGTAACCGGTTACACTTGAAATTTATTTTTGTTTTACTTTTTTTCTAAAAATCATGTGTTTTGAATGTCAGAATAATATCAAAAAATGGAATCGATCGGTGTGCTCGCGAATCAGTGGAACTATTAATCATATATAGTAATTTTACTGTAACTTTTCCAAATATAACCTAATCATGGACTATTTAGGTGAGATAATAGCTCTCGGAATTGACGGTGTCATCTTCAGCATCTGTTTAAAACAGTTTTTCTATTGCAAAAACGCAATCTTTGCAGTTAAGGTAAACAAGATTTTCATTATTGTACTTGTTTCTCATAGAATTCTATGTGAATTTAATAGTTTCCGAAATCTAACCCTACCAAATGATGAACACAGCATTTATTGCATGAAATTCTAGCAATGTATATATTATATATTGCTATATCAACATATAGCAATGTGTGTAGTGTTTAAAAATACTTCAAAACGTTCAGTTTCTCTACAGGATGCAGAATTTCACGAAGTCGGTTCACAGTTGGAGAACCTTGTTGACAACCATCCTGATAACAAAATAGGCTATATAGCTGTCAGGGGCTTTGTTAAGCCTTTAGGAAAACCATTAACTAGTATCAATAATAAAAAGATAACTGGCGTTGTACAGAAGCTCAAAATTAAAGAACATGTTGTGGCTAGAACTACTGCTGGTTTCTGGTATGTTAATTTTCTTTTCTACGGTTATAAATTATTCATTCTATTTTTTTTACCTATAGGTCAGATCAAGAGCACACTGTTCATAAAGTGTTTAATACTGTACCATTTGTTTTACAACGTGGCTCTAAGTCCGTAGAAGTATTAGAACCATTGTCTGCCGATATTTTAGACTTGGATGTAGTATCAAATACTTTTGAACCTACTGTACCATCGTTTGCAAACCACTTATGGAGTTTCTTCACAGGTTGAAAATATACAATACATAATTTACTATGCTATAGGATAATTTTTAATACCAAAATTCCTTATTAATTGTAGGTGTACGTCAACGTGGTTTGCAGTCTACCGAAGAACTGCTTCGCGATGGTACCCTTATCACAGGTATAGGTGAATTATCGAGGAGCAAATCCAATGCTCTTACACTGCAATCTCCGAATGATGGAATGCCATTTTATTTAACAAGTATGTCGATTACTTCTTTACTTAAAAAGCTAGATGATCGAAGGAGAACATACAGGTGGGTGTTTGATTATTCCTCTTTCACTATCTTGTAGCGTAACCAACTCGAAAGTAGTAACATGTTTTCATATTATGTTTTAGATTCTTAAGTTTGATGTTTGGCGCAATCGGTTTGTTGATCGGTGGTATAGTACTTCGACGTTATTGGAAAGACAGAACGGAGCAACGATTGGCAGAAGAGTTAAGGCGGAGTCTTTCCGCATCCCGAAAAGAAAGAAGACAAAGAGTTAGAGACACTGAGCTCAGAGAGGATCAGTTGTGCATTGTTTGTCGCACAAATCCTCGTGAAATCATTGTTCTTCCTTGTGGACACGTTTGCCTATGCGAGGATTGTGCTGACGATATTACTAACAATTGTCCTTTCTGTAGATCCCCGATCACACAAAAAGCTGCTGCCTATATAATTTAACATGAATGTAAGAATGAAATTTGTAAAGTTTACCATGGAGGTTTTTAAATGGTAAAGAATGATTAATTAAAATTAATTTAGCGCGTGTAATAGCTTTATTTAATTACAAGAGCATTCTAAAGAGGAAAATTGAAAAATATGATATATTTTCATACACGAGAATACAACATATAAAAAATGTCAAAATTCTAAATCTTTTTGTTTCTCTTTTTCAGTATCGTTTTCTGCACTACTCGCAGTTGCGTTAAACGAGTCCATTATACGCTTAATTTTATTAGTTTTTCCAATACCAAGTTTGGGTAGTCCTCTATTCAAACCTTCCAACATGATGCAAGCTTTGCATACTTCTTGACTCGAAACATATCCGCAACGAGAACAGCTTCTTCGTTCCGGCATTTTAACAGTATCTTTTACTGCTAATGTTTCTCCTATTACATAATACATTTAGTTCACGCATTAAGTAACAATGATAATTTCAACATAAAAATTGCAGCACAAATTCATTTACCAGAATGTATTATATCTAATATGGACGAAGGCCTAATCTTTTCTAAGTCCTTCAGGAATGTTCTTGCATGACCTCTATACGCATTTGGTGCAAATACACATTCAGTTGAAAAGTACACCAAGTGTTTGAAATACGCGTACATTACAATCTCCTTCTCATAGGCATATTTAAGCGGCTTACATCGTTTTATGCAATCTGCTCCTGCCTATATTAAAAAATATAATATTGTTACTATATAAAAATTGCATAAATCTAAATACTTTTTAAGTAACTCATACAGTAATGACTGAAGTGCATCTTTGTAGCCGTGCAACATCTCCACGTAAGATATTCATGATTACTGTTTCTGCTATGTCATCCGCGTTATGGCCTGTTGCAATGCAGTCTACCCCCAACAGAGCAGCACCTCTGTCTAATGCTTGTCTTCGAAAGACGCCACAAAAGGTACAATTATTCTTTTTACCTATCTGCAGTAAAATAATTTAATTAATTCAATACACTTAATCCTAATAAAAAAATATATGCTCATACTTCTGCTACAATTTCATCCATAGTCCACCCATACAACTCTTTGTAAGATAATACTTTTAATGGTAACCCATAATCAGTTTTATTTTGTTGAACTGTTTTCAAGCTATCATCCCTGTACCCTAAAAATATGATATATATCACAATAGTTCATTAAGTCTTATAATACTCCAATATTTTTTTTTTGCTATTAGTATACCAGTAATTCCTTCATCAATAGACAAAAGAAACAAGTCAATTCCATAATTGTATCGTTCATTCAAAGTTTTTAACACATATGCTAGTACAGTTGAATCTTTTCCTCCTGATGCTCCAATAGCAATTTTCTCACCCGGGTTAAATAATTTTCCTAGTGTAATTGTATGATGAATTTCAGATTCAAAGGCGTCGAAAAAACATTCTTTACATAACGCATGTCCAGTTTTTGGTCTCTGTAATTAATTATATTACTTTTTTTAAACACCTAATTAATCATAGAAATATCCCTAACTAAGACACATAATTAACTTACTTTGAGAGTAGCATCTTTCCCACACTTCCTTGAACATGGAATTGGCATTTTGATTGAAAATTATAACTTCACTGTGTCCCGAATATTTTGTCTATATTATAAATGTCACAATGATATGTTTATGGTAATGTCCTACTTAGTAACTTAAAACGCTCGTACTTTCAAATTGTTTAAATATTTCACAATCCAAACACGTGATTAAGTCGTCACTTAGGTTATAAATTTCAATAATAATAACAGTTTACATAAATCAAAGTTTAGTTAAGCCAAATACGTTTTTTATTTTACGATGAATGTATAATTCATACAAATGACCGTGAAATATTTATAATCACTGCAATACGTCCACAGCTCGTTTGCAATAAATTTTTCGTGAAATTAGTCTTCTGGCTTTTCTGGAGGTGGACCACAAGGTTGCAACATCTTTTCCATAAGATTAAATCGTACTCGCGCTTTTGCTTCGTTTTCAGCAATAGCGAAAAAATTCAATAGATCATAGTGTCCCATATAAGAACTGCAGGAATCACGGTGTTGGTTTACAAGCCATTCGAACTTAGTCGTGTCAGCGTGGCCTGTGCCGATGTATTTTGATTGCAAATGCTCTAATTGACTGTGAATATTGTAACGTTCCCCCATGCTTCACTCTTCTTGATTGACGAACACACAAGCACTATAAATATACAAGTTTTCAAATATATTGAATCTCGGGCTTATTTCTTGTTCTTCCGATAAATTGCTGATGAAAAAATTACGTTTCGTTTCGACTTGAATTTGTAGATTACTCGATTTCAGAAGTATGTGTAGTAATGCACGCTTTTCTTACTCTCTAAGCTGACGTACATATCCCCAACATTTTACTGAGCATCCAATCCATAATGGATCCTGTCTCAGCAGTGAATCGTCAGTCAATCAGAGCACAGAAAATTTCTATTCCGATTCTCGCTAACAGATCAAGCTGTGACCTGGAGGTGTGCTGAAGCAGAAACCATGTCCCCAAGCGGGGACACCCGGCTTAAAATTATGAAGCAGATAGAGAAACCTGATTGGTTGATGTTTCACAGCTAAATAGTGCTGCCCTCACAGTTCTAGACAAAGAGGAAGTGACGAGTGAGCAAGAGAGCACGATATCAGACAACCACAAGCGAAACAAGTCACACCAACGATCAATGTAACTTGTCTCACTTTATCGTGCTTGTGATCTCACTTTTTTCGCGCATCCGTATGCTGGTGCTCCATCTGAAACAGGTGGCGCGATATTCGACTTGTACTTTTCGCCCTTCGCTCGTACGTACAGCGTATTTGCAAATGCTTGAGACGACGATCGTTTCTACAATTATTAAAATTTTCGAGAACCCGTAAGCAACATTTTAGCTGATGGTTTCTAATGAATTTACAAAATTTACTGCATTGATCGTCAGTGTGACTTGTTTTTCTTGTGGTTGTGCTGATATTGTGTTCTCTCACTCATTCGCTACTTCCTCTCTTTATCTAGAACCGTGAGGGCAGCACTGTTTAGCTGCGAAGCATCAACCAATTAGAATTCTCTACCTGCTTCATAATTCTAAGCCGGTTGCCCCCGCTTGGCTTACTATCGTGAGACACTACTGTACTATCGGGAGAGGGGGGCACAGAATTGCTTACTACACGGCGAGGCATGACTGTACGTCTAAAGCGTTCATAATGCAGAGTTTTCATGTGAGAATGTTTCGTGATTTGTACTGAATGAAATACATAAATTGTAATGTGTTTATAAAAGGCTTAATAATATTATTACCTGTAATTAATATAAAAATATGCGTACGAAAAATAATAATCTTAAACTTATTTTCCTACAAACTTTTAAGTACGACTCCAGATACGTCTGCAAATCCTACATGATTTGATCCATCTGCTGGCGAGTCTGGAGGTAGCCGCTACACTACGTTGGACCCAGCTCGATGCAAAGGAACCCAACATTCAGCGTGATATCGCAAGTCTTACATTGCACGTGAGTACTAACGTTAGTCGTCGACGTACAAGCCCTTCGGAAAACGCTAAACTTTCTATTATAAAAACTGGGCAACTCCCTTGCCACCTAGACGTGAATAATGGCGGCTATGCTAGGTCGACCGAAAAACCTTTTCAGCTAAATGTTTCTTCGATCGCCGAGTCATACACTCACGTTGAACGAATCCTCTTGTATATATTTTGAAAATATCGCGATTCACTGTGATTCCACATCTTTTCCAAGTTTCTTAACGAATCCGTGTATTCGAAAGTATTGTTACGTCGACTAAACTATACATGTGCGTGTTCGCGTGTCTTCTTTTCATGTGTGACTGTTATGTGCGTGTGTTATATCCATGACGATCAGTATTAAAGTATTGGAAGAGAACAGAAATAATTATTGTACTTAAAATTTACCATCTAATATTGAATTTTAAAAGGTGTATCAAATATAAATATAATATGAATGATATTTTAAATATTTAAAAAAGTAGAGTTGATTGCATATCACTTTTACTGATTGTTTGTGGATATTTGAAGAAATGTGATTTCATTGTTTGCAGACCTTTTTGTGCTATTTATGTAAGTAATATAAAGTGATTATGTTTATTTTTATGGATATTATTCTTATGGTTATGTCAAGGTTATTCTCATATTATATTATTTTTTTATCTCTATTATTTATATTATTCTTATGGTTAATAATAAAATAAATGTAATGTGTGTGCAGTAAAAAGTTCATTATTTTTATATACTGAAATATTTGTATATTTCAGTAGGTGACATGCCTGGCAGTCGTGATATTGAACGAGCAGAACGTAATGGAAGATTTCGATCACGTAGAAGAGATAGTACAGGCAGTGATATAAATCGACATAATTTCGAAGCTTCTGACAAGAAGCATAGACGGCATGGAAAAAACAAGGGTTCTGGAAAAAAAAAGAAGAAGAGGTCTAGAGATAAATCTATAGAGAATGTACCAACTGTAGCCTCTTCCATAGTTAAGCCTTTAGTTGAATACTCAGATGTGAGTAGTGAAGACTTGTCTGAACCGGAAGCAGGGGAAATTCAGTCAGAGGATAGTAGAGGTAANATTTCTCTACCTACTTCATAATTCTAAGCCGGTTGCCCCCGCTTGGCTTACTATCGTGAGACACTACTGTACTATCGGGAGAGGGGGGCACAGAATTGCTTACTACACGGCGAGGCATGACTGTACGTCTAAAGCGTTCATAATGCAGAGTTTTCATGTGAGAATGTTTCGTGATTTGTACTGAATGAAATACATAAATTGTAATGTGTTTATAAAAGGCTTAATAATATTATTACCTGTAATTAATATAAAAATATGCGTACGAAAAATAATAATCTTAAACTTATTTTCCTACAAACTTTTAAGTACGACTCCAGATACGTCTGCAAATCCTACATGATTTGATCCATCTGCTGGCGAGTCTGGAGGTAGCCGCTACACTACGTTGGACCCAGCTCGATGCAAAGGAACCCAACATTCAGCGTGATATCGCAAGTCTTACATTGCACGTGAGTACTAACGTTAGTCGTCGACGTACAAGCCCTTCGGAAAACGCTAAACTTTCTATTATAAAAACTGGGCAACTCCCTTGCCACCTAGACGTGAATAATGGCGGCTATGCTAGGTCGACCGAAAAACCTTTTCAGCTAAATGTTTCTTCGATCGCCGAGTCATACACTCACGTTGAACGAATCCTCTTGTATATATTTTGAAAATATCGCGATTCACTGTGATTCCACATCTTTTCCAAGTTTCTTAACGAATCCGTGTATTCGAAAGTATTGTTACGTCGACTAAACTATACATGTGCGTGTTCGCGTGTCTTCTTTTCATGTGTGACTGTTATGTGCGTGTGTTATATCCATGACGATCAGTATTAAAGTATTGGAAGAGAACAGAAATAATTATTGTACTTAAAATTTACCATCTAATATTGAATTTTAAAAGGTGTATCAAATATAAATATAATATGAATGATATTTTAAATATTTAAAAAAGTAGAGTTGATTGCATATCACTTTTACTGATTGTTTGTGGATATTTGAAGAAATGTGATTTCATTGTTTGCAGACCTTTTTGTGCTATTTATGTAAGTAATATAAAGTGATTATGTTTATTTTTATGGATATTATTCTTATGGTTATGTCAAGGTTATTCTCATATTATATTATTTTTTTATCTCTATTATTTATATTATTCTTATGGTTAATAATAAAATAAATGTAATGTGTGTGCAGTAAAAAGTTCATTATTTTTATATACTGAAATATTTGTATATTTCAGTAGGTGACATGCCTGGCAGTCGTGATATTGAACGAGCAGAACGTAATGGAAGATTTCGATCACGTAGAAGAGATAGTACAGGCAGTGATATAAATCGACATAATTTCGAAGCTTCTGACAAGAAGCATAGACGGCATGGAAAAAACAAGGGTTCTGGAAAAAAAAAGAAGAAGAGGTCTAGAGATAAATCTATAGAGAATGTACCAACTGTAGCCTCTTCCATAGTTAAGCCTTTAGTTGAATACTCAGATGTGAGTAGTGAAGACTTGTCTGAACCGGAAGCAGGGGAAATTCAGTCAGAGGATAGTAGAGGTAATAGCTACACGGACGGAGAAGTACCTGAGACAGTTTTACAGAGGCGTTATTATGGCGGAAGTCCAGTACGAGCTCTTGGGGCATCGCCTATTAGTCTTTCACCATCTCCACCAGTCCAGCATAGGCATTCTGGCAGACATTATTCGCCTAATGAACAGCAGCCTTCAGCAATGCATGGTGCCACACCTGAATATGAAGAGGAGTCCAGGCGCTATGCGAGAAGAAAAGAAAAGAAACATAAACGAGAGAAGAAAAAGAAAAGAAGCCTTAGTCCCTCATCCAGTTCTGGCAAGAAGAAGAAACGAAAGTCTAAGAGGCATTCTCATAGTTTGAGTCCACATCGCATACCAGATGAAATCATAATAAGCCCGGAGCGCGAGAAACCAGTTGGAAATTGGTCAGAGTCGCCTCCTTTACCACTGAAGGATAGTACTTCACCGATTTCACCTGCGACACCTCAAGAATTAAGAGAGTTCAGCGATGTTGAACTTGTATTACCCAGGCAACCCCGAAACGTAACACCTCCACCCCTTCCCCCAAGACCGACCGAATCTCCACACACTCCTTTGTTGCCGCCAAGAACAGCAACACCAGAGAATAACAAAGCAAATTTATCTGCGATAAAACACACACCAGAAAGACAGAAACATAGTCCTAGTATTCATACTCGACGTAATAGCATTAGTCCAGGGCCAACGATAAGCTCGAGTCGTAGGAGACCTCATAGCCCAAGTCCACCATCGAGACGAAGAGACCATAGCCCGGCGAGAAGAAGAGACTTTAGTCCCAGCCCCATGGTGCACAGACTGAGGCACAGTCCTAGTCCTTCAAGGAGGCGAGAATTCAGTCCGAGTCCTGTTGGTCATCGACGTAGAGGGGATCCCGTTAGTTCACCACCGTCGAGTAAACGTAGACGACGGGACGAGGCTGATCGACGACACAGACACCATGAAAAAGACAGGAGGGACAAAAGAAAATCAAGATCGACCAGAAGTCCTACTGGAAGCAGGTATTTTTTGTATCAGGACGCTTTAGCTAACTTAAATTTCATGTTTTTGTTTCATAATTAACATGAATTACTCTTTCAGGTTGCATTTACCTCTTTCCCGTTCGCGATCCCGAAGTCCTGGAAGATGGCGGAAGATCCAATCACGATCTAGATCGCGTTCGCGTCGACGAAGTCGAACTCCGAAGAAGTCACGTTCTCCTAGCAAATCTCACAAGTCTGTAAGGAAGCACAAGTCGAAGAGTCCTCGTCCTTCGAGGATACCTTCACCTTCGCCCCATAGACCCAGGCCAAGAAGTCCGTCTAGCATCACCGCGAGAAATCTCAGAGTACAAGCAAAAATCAGCGAGACCAGTTTGTTCGCCGAGCTAGTGAAGGACAGGAACATGCGTGAGTTAGCGTATAAGAAACTACAGGCGGCTAAAGAGAAAGCTGTGAACCAGGATGAAGTTCAAATCATAGAAGGCACCGATGACAAAGACGGCAGCAACACGTCCTCCGAGAACAAACCTTCCGCCGACAACAAAGATAAATATGTAAATCACAAAGATCAAACGAAGGGGACGAGCGAAACCATGAAATCTGTTGACGTTGTGGATATCCCAGTTCCGGTGTCGGACGACAGTGGAATAGCGGGAAAGACGCCTCCATTGCCCATGTCACAATCTGTCAATACGTCGAACTTAATGCCCGGAGGTAATCAACCTCCAACTGTTGTATATACTTCACCTACAACCGCTGCGTCTAATAATTGTCCAGTGACCGTTACAAGTAGCCCGAATTTTTCGACTGTTACCACTGTACAAGCACCCCCGTTGCCACAGTCTGAGCTTGCGAACGCGTCTTGCATACCACAACCGTCTATGTCAGTGCCTATCCCTGTACCAGTACCTGTTCTACCAAATTTGTCCGTTCCGCCTCCGCCGATACCGATTCCTGTACCGGCGCCTAATACGGCCATGTCAAAATTCAATCCTCCCAATAACTTGGTTCCTCTTAAGTCGGTAGACCCCCCTAAACCCCCTATCGTGGCATTTAAGACAAAAAGTTTGTCACGGTTACCGTTACCGCCTGGAATTAATCAGAATGATTTGGAGAGTATAGACTCGCCGCCGAGTAGGTCACCAAGTCCACCTAGCAAGGCACAAATGAAGTTTCCTACATCCACTCCGAAACCACCACAGAAGAAGAGTATCAAAGACTTACCTATGCCTCCAGGTATATTAATGTATTTTTTTTGTTTTGGATAGTGTAATTATTATTTAATGGAAATAACTTGTATGGAGATGATTTGCAGTAGTTCCTGGGTCTGAAGACTTGAGTGGAGAAGATGATCCAAATGCAACACCACCACGCACAAGGGTTGAACGTGTTCCGCCAAAGCCCAAGCTAAAGAGACCAAAAATCTTGAAACGTAGGAGCTCGAGGAATTGCCACACTCCTATGTCGGCTTCCGGTGGCAAAGATTGGGGTGAACGCTGCGTTGAGGTGTTTGAAGTCATAGCACAGATTGGAGAGGGTACCTACGGTCAGGTGTACAAGGCTCAAGACAAACGAGCTAGCGTGCTTGTGGCATTGAAGAAAGTCCGCTTGGAAAACGAGAAAGAAGGGTTTCCGATCACGGCGGTGCGTGAAATCAAAATTCTGCGACAGCTGAATCATAAAAACATTGTCAACTTGAGGGAAATAGTCACGGACAAACAGGATGCCTTAGACTTCAGAAAAGTACGTTATTAACGTACATTATTAACGTATATGTCTGACAATACTTATATCGCTTTTATAGGATAAAGGATCGTTCTACCTCGTGTTCGAATACATGGATCACGACTTGATGGGTCTTCTAGAATCCGGAATGGTGGATTTCAATGAAATGAACAACGCGAGCATAATGAAACAATTGTTAGACGGTTTAAATTACTGCCACAGTAAAAACTTTTTACATAGAGATATAAAGTGTTCAAATATATTGATGAACAATAAGTACGTATTTTACATAATGAACGCATGATATGGCGTTGCTCCAATTATTTTACGACTTATCTTGTAATTTTTGTGTGTGTGTAGAGGGGAAGTGAAGTTAGCAGATTTCGGACTTGCAAGACTTTACAATGCCGAAGATAGGCAACGACCCTATACAAACAAAGTTATTACTTTGTGGTACAGACCTCCTGAATTATTGCTAGGCGAAGAACGTTACGGGCCTGCTATAGACGTTTGGAGTTGCGGTTGTATTTTAGGAGAATTGTTTTCTAAGAAACCGCTATTCCAGGTATGAAAGTTCAGTATTAAATAAATGTCATAGAGTTATTACTACGTTTGAAATTAATATTATCTCCTCCTTTATTAGGCGAACGTAGAGATGATGCAGTTGGAGATGATTTCTAGAGTCTGTGGTACACCAACTCCCGCCGTTTGGCCTTCTGTGATAAAATTGCCGTTATGGCACACACTCAAGCCAAAAAAGTCCCATAGAAGACGCTTGCGGGAAGATTTCTCGTTTATGCCGGCACCAGCTTTGGATCTATTAGACAAAATGTTAGAATTAGATCCTGAAAAACGAATAACGGCTGCTGACGCACTTAAAAGTGCATGGCTGAAAAATGTTCAACCTGAGCAGTATGTTTTCTTTTTGATTTCCACTATGTCTCTAACGAGAATATGTTATAAATTAAAGTATAGAGATAGTATTGTATTTTACATAGCCCTCGGTAGAGGATACATCAATATGAGATACAAAATACTGTATTTTGTTCATAATTTCTAAATGTATGTAATTCTGTCCATGCATAAAATCTGTATTAATCTTATGACAAATTAGGATGCCGGCACCGCAACTTCCTACTTGGCAAGATTGTCATGAACTTTGGAGCAAAAAGCGAAGACGCCAGTTGCGGGAACAACAAGAGAGCTCTGCGGGAAAGATACCTCTGCTACCTCTTCCGAATAAAGGAGGTCCCCATAAGGCTATCGAAGATCTATCAGATGTCGGGGGGTGAGTAGCTGTAGAGAGACATATTCGCACAAAACTGGGACGCGATCCAGTACTGACCAGATTACTAATTGCTTACACACGTAGATGGCTGTGTACTGCAGTTGTGCTTAGCATTTATTTTTTTTCTTTAGCAGAGTGCGTTGTTTTGAAAATATTATTTAAAAAGAATGGAGACGTAACTGTTGTAGTAATCATACTTCCCATCGTCCGTTTGCATGTTACTCTCTCAATAATGAATAAAATTAAGTTAATTTTAATTTGATTCGCAGTCGTTCAAACACGACGATGGCTATAGTGCAGAGCAATGGAATATTTTAAATACATAAACAAAAATGCAAACAAAGAATGTACTAATGTACTAATATTTTAAAACACAAGAAAACGATATAAGCGTACCAGAAAACACACAGAATTTACAACGAAATGTTTTGTCATACCAATCATATGTTATATACAATACTTTACTTTTTTATGTGGTTACGTATTGATACAACAAAATGATATACATACATATGTATATTGATGATTCGACGAAATTATATGATACTAACCAACAACACTATATTACTATTCCTTGAAATTAATATCGGATATTGTTTGATTGGATGGATATTGTGTGTAGGCATTTATGTGAAATGCACCTTGCGATCCAGATTTAATTGATTGCCTTAGGAAATGATGATACGAGCTTAAAGATTATAACATATTTTTTATGTCTGATATTTTCCTGAACGAAAGCAATGACCGTAAATAATATGTATGTACATATTTATCGCTTCGTAAATAGGTGAATATACATGTGCATATATTGAAAAATATTTGTGTATTTAAAAGAAGAATGCACATATATACGATTATACACGCATTTAGATGATTTACATGTATGTGCATATAATCAACGATACTTCATAACTGTATGAATAATATCCAGTTCACAAGTTATCGGATGTTTTTATTAAAAAAGTGAGATTAAATTCAATTATTAGAAATTTCATAGATGATGCAACCTTTAAATCTCAAGCTATTATCCTTTGTATATTTAAAAGAATATTATATCGCAATTTCTTGCAATTTTGACTGAATTAGATACAAGTGGAGATATAATTGTTTAATGTTCTAAAATTTTGGAAGGTGCTTAATGTCCGTTTAGACCGATTATTTAAAATGAAAATGAGACAATTTGATAAGATTGATACACGAGCTTGAATATTTATTGCAGCTTTTATTTTTGCTTGAAGCAGGCATGGGCGAGTCATTTCGGCCGCGGGCCACAAGTCCATTACTACTACTCCATGCACACTGCTACACATAACATGGGTAGCCCCGCGTCGGGCACAGAAGAAACATTGTCGTATCGTTTCTCGCGTCGCATAAGTGTGTGAGGGACGAGCCACGGACCAAATTTGGTCCACGAGCCGCGACTCGTTCATGCCTGGGCTGAAGCAACAATGAGTCTGATGACTTTTGAACGCGGATGTGCATATATTTAAAATATATTCATCCTTGAATGACAAATAATTAACAAAGAGAGAAGAAAAGAGTAATAAGTTGTACGATTGAGAATGAAAAGAGGTCGGAGTTCCTAGAATATTATATGTTAACGGTCGTCTTGAATTATCAAATTTAAATGCTGTCTTGAAATGCATGAGATGGTGGACAAAATGAATGAAGGAAGCATTGTGAATATATAGACTATCCTGTATAATGTTTAAAGTCTTAGGAGTGTAAATAGGTCGAATGGGACACAAAGAAGAAGCTGATGGAGATACGAAGACATGGAATACGAGAAGCCAAGACTATAATATGAATGTGTTCCACAAATAGTAACGTCATGGCCATCCTCCCATCGACAGTTCATTTTATTTACCTTAAATTCAGTTTATTTAACATACACACATTTCTAGATTAGGTGTATTTTTAATTGGTTCCGCAAACTGTGTTATAGTTCGTTATTTCTGTATGTAGATAGCTTAAACATAAGTTTTCAATATACGAATGGCAGTTTTTCTATATCCGTTTAATATTTTTCATGATTTTTTGCATGTACTTTTGTATCGGTGCCATTCTTATAATGAAATCCGGTCAAATTTAGACAAAAAAATGTATTATTATCATCACAATGTAAAATAATATCGAATTACTGTAATATAAAATATTTACTTAAATATCTAGAGGCATCCGCCTGAAACATTTTTTGTGGACAATGAATTTCCAATGTTATTAAAATATTTTATTGTTTAATTTGTTTAGCCCCTGCCAATGTATCTACACTTTATAATTTACAAACTAAGTATATCTTTAATCATTTCGGAGAATCATATCTGACTATGAACACTGGGACCTTGGGGAATTAATTAAAGTACCGATGCACGATGTGCCTTCTTCCAAAATTACTATCAACAATATGTTACTTTTCTACTTATTCCACAATAAGTTCGAGTATTTAACATAAAAAAAAATATATATATAGTGTTATTTCTTTGTAGAATGTATCAAACAATAAATAACAAGTTGATGTTGCAGTAATACTCTAGTGCACACACAGTGAAATAGATAAGATAACTAGAAGCGCGTTGCGCTTTTTTAAATTGAATCTGTTATACCAGAATTGTCCTGATAACAGCAGGTCGTAATTGAACAAATTTATGCAGTTACGTGTACCTTCGATTTTAAATTAATTCTGCTTTTAACTTACTTCCA